CTCTTTAGTAGTGCCAGGATAAGGTGGAAAGCTCCAAGCCTGGTATTTTGAGTGATTCTGAGTGACATCCATGGAGCCCTAGGTGTTGACTGGGGTCCAGGACACACCCAGGGCTGGGCTGGGTAAAGGAGAACACTCCCAGTCCCAAGGTCTGGAGTCTATGAACAGATTTAGTCCTGGCTCTCCTCTGCCCAAGTCCTAAAACCTTCAGTGGCTCTTTGCCCACTGCTGAGTAAAGCACAAATTCCTGAAGTTAACATTCAAAGCCTTACAACATCTAATGCCACCTTGCTCCCATGGCCTCCACTGTTTGGGAACTCTGGGCTTCAGCCAAACTAGAGGGAGGCCTATAAAGGTCCTGTACTTCCCCATACCGGAGCCTTTACTCACACTGGAATAGGCAGCAGAGACATAGCTAGAAATTGTTGTAGTGGGGGAAAATTAGGAGGACTGTGACACAGATGGTAGTTCTACCACAGGGATAGCCAGGGGAAGAGGCCACCCATCCCCTAGAAAGTCCAGCCACTATCTCCACAGGGTTTGGAAAGAGAACAATGGCTGAGGGCCAAGTGATGGAACTCTGGGTCAACCAATCAATCAATTAATCAATCAACAAGTATTTACTAAGCACCTACTAAGTACCAGGATCTTTGCTAAGTGCTGGGGTTACAAAGACAAAAGCAAAACAATCCTTATCCTCAAAGAGTTTCTAGTCTATCAGGGAAGACAAGAACATATGAACAAACAAACAAACAAACAAATGAATGAATGTATCTGTTTATTTACATATATGTATATCTATATAAAACGTGTTTATTTATATTCATGTGTATAGCTACATATTTGCTTATATGCATATATACACACATGTGAGTGATAGCTATGTGTGGATCTATATACATGTAATATGTATGAATCACACCATTCATATATGTGTGTATATATGTTTATATGCACACACACAAACACACACAGGGCCATATGGGGAAAGCATTACTGACTAGAGAGATCAGGAAAGACCTCATATCTCATGTCGAAGATGGTGCTTGACCTGAATCTTGGAGGAAACAGCAGTGTGGGCTGATAGAAGGTGAGGCCTTGGGACAGGGATCATCATTGAGAGGAAACGTATCCCCCTCCCCACGCTGTTGGCACCCAGAAGCTGAGCTCTGGGTTGTAGTTGCAGCTCTTACTCTTGGCATGACCATCTCTCCTTCTTCCTTATCCATCCCTATTGAATTCCTATTTTATTTTTATTTTTGGAGGCAATCAGGGATAAGCGACTTGCCCAGTGTCACACAGCTAATAAGTGTATGAGGTCAGATTTGAACTCAGGTCCTCCTGGCTGCAGGGCTGGTGCTCTATTTACTGTGGCTCATTTATTCACTGCCCCTTATTTATTTTGTAAAAGCACAACCCACATGCCATCTACACCAGGAAACCCACCCTGATTCCTAGCATCCCTAGATGATAATAACCTCCCCAGTGTGCTTATACCTTTTTGGCACCTATTCTTTTGTATTTTAGTATTGTATTTTATATTTGCTTTCATCAGTGGCATTTGCCCTTACTAGACTGTAGGCTCCATGAGGACAGGAATTACATCTAATCTACACTTTCGATCTCTCCAGCACCTAGGCCTGGTTTCTGGATGCCTTGAGTTGGACAGATATTCATCTATCACACATGTGCTTAAAAAATATGTATACAAGAAGTCACATGATATGTAGAGCTCTGACATTGGAGTTAGAAAGGCCTGAGTTCGAATTCCACCTCTGACACCTAAGAACTTGGTGACCACAAGCAAATTACTGATCATCTCTCTATCTTTACTTTCTCATTTGTCCAATTAAGAAAATAATAAAGTAGTTCCTACCTCATAGGGGTGCTGTGAGTCAGTTAGTTAATCGATCAATGAGCATTTATTAAGCTCCAATGTGTGCCAGGCACTGTACTAAGTGCTAGAGATACAGAGAAAAGCAAAAACAGACCCTGCCCTCAAGAATCTTATATTCTAATGTGGTTTCTCCATTCTAGTCAGGGGCTTCTAAGTTCTACATTGAGTGAATGGAAGGGAATCTCGGAAGGGAAAGTCAGGGGAACAGGAAAGCCTCCTGATGGAAGGATGAGGCTCAATTGAAATTACGCTTGTATTTCGCAAACTTTGAAGGGCTATTCAGATGTCCATTATTATCTTTCACAACATGAATGTGTCATGATGTTTCTTTCCTCCCCTCCAAATTCTCTCTGTTGCCTCTTTTCGTGTCCTGGTTGGCTCCTGGCCAACCAGGATTTCCTAAAAGAATCTAAACCAGGGACACTCCCCCCTCCAGTGCCCCAAGATGGAGACCAGAACTAAGCCCCTAATTGATGCAGGGTTCATTATCGTTCTCCTTCCCTTGAGGTTCAACTTTCCAGATTTGCGTAACTCAGTTCCTGGTGCTCAGGAACCCAGGAGTCCTTGGGGGTGGCCCTTCTCAGAAAGTTCCTAGGGTTCTCTCAGGGGCCAGGTTTCTCAAAAATGCTGGGGTGCCAAAGAGGCCTGAGACAGCAGGAAGTGATGGTTCCATGGGAAGTCCCTTGTGTGTGAGGATGCTTTTCTTGCTCTTGGTCTAGGTCCCCTAGAGCCCTGGCCTTCATCTTCCTGTTCTGCAGGCTGAGGAAAGCAGCTCCCATCACAGGACTCGGGGGATGGGGAGAGCAGGGAAGGGATAGTGCCAAAGAATATACCTTGTCCCAGTACAAGATCTGGACTTTATTCATAATTATATATGCCTTTACAAAGGAGAGTTAAGTGAGGCATTAACTCTTTGGCCAAGCGGTGACAGATGAACCCAGCTGCCCTGACTTCCCTTCCTCCCCCTCCACCTACACAGCTGTATTCATGATTCAGAATGTATTCATTCAGATCACATCATTCCCCCATACTGTATTCATTACTGGCAGGGGTCACCTAAATGGCAGGATCTGAAGCATTCTCAGAATCTGGACTGTTCCAAGTGCCTGAAACATATGTTATCAGAATCATCCTGCTGTCTCCAGAATGTCTCTGGGTAAAGAGTAACCTAAGAAGGGGGGTAGCCGGGTGGTACAGCGATAGAGCGCCAGGCCTGAGACAGGAAGACTCATCTTCATGAGTTCAAATCTGGCCTCAGACACTAGCTGTACCACCCTGGGCAAGTCACCTAACCCTATTTGCCTCAGTTTCCTCATCTGTAAAATGGTGCTGGAGAAGGAAATGGCAAACTTCTCCAGTATCTCTGCCAAGAAAACCCCAAATGGGGTCACAAAGAGTCTGGATGACTCAACCACAACAAGAACTGAAGTCTCATGCCATCTGCAGTGGGAAGATCTCTGTTTTTGGAGTCAAAGAAGCTAGATGCAAATCCCACTTCTGATCCTTTCTACTTGTGTGACCTTCAGTAAGTCACTCAACGTTCTTGGACCTCAAAATGAGTGTTGGATTCAATGACTTCTGAAGTCCCTTTCAGCACCAGCTCTAGAATCCTGAGTTCCTTTCCTTCTCCAGGCCCATTTCCTCAACCGTAATAATGACTGGAATTTATACAGCATCTTACATGCTCTAAAAATATTATCTCTGTAGATTTTCCCTACAACCCTGGGAAGCAGGTATTATTATCAAACCAATCTTAGACATGAGGAAATGGAGGCAGACAGGAGTTAAGCGGCTTGCCCAGGGTCATACAGCTGTTAAGTATCCGAGGCTGGATTAGAACTCAGGTCTTCCTGACTTCAGGTCCATGTCCTGGAGCTGCCATAGCTGCCATAAAATGAGAGGGCTGGACTAGACACAGGGCTCTTAACCTAGATTCCATGAGTTTGTTCTTTAAGATGTTTTGATAACTACAATCCCGTGTTTTTATGTATTGAAATTTACATGTTTTTATGTATTAAATTTACATGTTTTTATGTATTGAAAAAGATGATTTCGAAGGGATCTGCGAGCTCCATCAGACAAAAAAGGTTAAGAACCCCTGGACTAGATGTCAAGGTACCTTATGATCCTATGCTTTCGAGCTGGATGTGATTATCTGGTCCAATCTCTTCATTTTGTAGGTCAATCAATCAATTCATGTGCATTTTTTTTTTTTGGCTAGGCAATGGGGTTAAGTGACTTGCCCAGGTAGTAAGTGTTATGTGTATGAGGCCAGATTTGAACTCAGGTCCTCCTGACTCCAGGGCCAGTGCTCTATCCACTGCACTACATAGCTGCCCCTCATGTGCATTTTTTTAGGCTCCTGCTTCCAAGAACTGTTTGAAGTGCTGGGGGGAGACACACAGTCAAACATGAAACAATCCCTGCCCTCAGAGAGTTTATATTCTATTGAATGAGGAAACTAAAGCCCAGAGAGGTGAATTCACTTGTCCAAGGTCATAGAGCTTGTAATAAGCAACACCAGGATTGGAATCCAGGTCCACTTTATAACCAGCTCCTTTCCTCAATGCCCTGTTGTCACTTCACTGGAATAAGCATGTTGACATATCTGTGAACATATCAATGGTAGATTGGTTTCCCCATTACCTGACTACCTTCCAAAGGCAAGAAGGATCTTAAAGGGTTGGGACCAAAGAAGGGTAAAGACTCAGAAAGGGAGGAGAGAGGTGAAGGCTTAAGGAAATTTGGGACAGGATAGAGCAATGGATGGAGGGACAACCTTGAGGAATTTGTCTGGGAGGGGACTCTAGGAGAGCAAATGGGAGGAAGGCCAAAGACCATTATGGCCCATTGCCTGGTTTTACTGAGCCTTAGGATTCTTGGACTGATTCCTTATCAAAGCACTCCTGCTCTTTTCAAGTAAGAACCAGTCAGGTTTCTGTTTGGCCTGAGTCACCCAGCAAAGCCTGTCTTCTGAAAGATAGGTGGAGTTCGGCACAGGCCCACAAACTAGCCAGGGTGCTCTTCTGGGAGGATGGAAAATGACGTGCTATTGCTCGTCCTCTTATACTCAGGTAAAAAAAAAAAAACAGTCCAGGCTAGCAAAGGAAAGCCCAGTTGCTGTCATTGGGAGTGCTGGCTCACACATACTCCTCTTCATCAGGCTTGACCTCTCATTTCACCTGTAATCACAATGACTCATTAAAGAAGGAACTAGCACCTTGCCCTTAGAGACAGAAAGTGGTCTTAGGTAAGTTCCATCTTCTCCTAGTCCCTTTTTTTTCCAATCTGAAGAAGTGGAAGGAAATATCTTACCACTGGGTATTTGGGGGTCCTTAATAAAGAGATTGTAGGAAAAGATCAAATGATGGAATTTCAGGATCCAGGAGGGCTGGTAAGTTCTTCCTCACTGGAGGTCTTCAGGAAGAAGCTAATTGGACACTGAGGTCCCTTCTAACCCTGAGTTTCTGTGAATCACAAATGTTTGGGCCAGAAGGGACCTTCGAGCTTGCCTCATCTAACCCCTTCATTTTACAAAGAATTTGAGACCCAGAGAAGTATTGATTTAAATGAGGGACTTGTCCATGGTCCCAAGGATTGTAAGGAGAAGGTAAAGGATTTAATCCAGGTCCCCTGGCTCCAAGTCCAATGTTCTCTCCCCTTCTCTACACTCACATCCCTCCTCTCCAATGGGCTCAGAAGTCAGGGCCATGCTGTTTAACCAGCAGGAGTCATGAAGAATACAGTGGAACCAGAATCATGATACTTATCTCTGTCTACAGCAGAGTTAAAAAAAAATGATTGTGTGTTGATTCAAATTCTAGGTGTGTTAAAAATGTAGATAGAGAATCTTAAGTCTTTCAAAACATGTAAGGAAAGAGAACAAGGGTTTTCCCCCAGAATTCAAATAGTGTTTGCCTATAAAAATGCCAAAGAAAACAACTGTGATTGTGCTATAAAACTATGTCCTTTTTTGTTGACAATTCTTTCAAAGGTCCAGCAGACAAAGGGGGAAAGTTCTTCAAAGAAACTGGATTGGAAAATTAAAAGAGGAAAACCCCATTAGGGATTCAGATTTGGAGGAGAAAAAATAAAATGATTCTTACTTGAGAGAGGGTAATATAAATAAAGGCAAGTTCATGATTTAAATACCAAATTTAGAAAGAGAAAGTAACTGAAATTATGACTTCCTGGGTATCCTTTTCCTGAATGGAAGAAATCCTTGTGGTGTTGCTGGGTGGGGTGGGGACTGGATGTAATTTCAGGCATGTTCCTAAAATTCTAACCATTGTGCTATGGTACCCACTGTGTTTGTAGTCAAAGCTCACTTGACCTGGGGCAACTTTCGGGGTGACTTTCCTCATCACCGGACCTCATTTGTCTCATCAAGAAAATGAGGTGATTGGATTAGATTATAAGATCACAGATATAAAGCTGGAAGGGGCCTTACGAGCTGTTTACTCTACCCCCTTTATTTTACAGCTCTTAGTGCAGTTCCTGGAACATAGTGGGTGCTTAGCAAATGTTTTTTGATTGATTGATTACAGACAAGGAATCTGAGACTAAAGAAAGTAAATGACTTGGCTGAATTCAAACAGGAGACAAGGTGGAAATACTGGAATTCAGAGCCAAGTCCTCTGACTCCAAATCCAGCTTTTTTTTCCCTACCCTATGATGCTGCCTCCCATCACTGTTGTGGGTCCTTCCCATCCTGAATCTATGATGCTATGAACTCCAAAGACTTTGTGCCTACAATTTGGGAAGCTGAGACTACTAATAATAACACATATCGATATGATACATTACCGTTGACAAAGCATGTTCCTTACAATCCCATGAGGAAGGCAATTAGTATGATTTTTCCTATTGTACCCATGAGGAACTGAGACTCAGAGAGATTAAGTGATTTCCCTGGGGTCACGTAGCTGGCAAACAGCAGAGCCAATGGTTAAACTCAGATCTCACCCCAATTCTAGGACTTAGCCATGCTACTATATGACTCAGTCTTATAGACAGCATGCTGTCCTTCTAAGGCATCCCTAGCCAACCAGTAACTTGGATAACTAAACACATGACCAAGGTTTATACTGTAACAATAAACTTCTTGTATTAAAGATAAAGCAAATGCACTATGAATAGAATTCTTGCTTTTATTATTATTAAATTATTTGTTGTGAAGATTATGAAATAATAAAGCTTTCTTCAAAGAACCAAGATGGCAGACAGAGCATGACACAGAAGGCAAGGGCTTGAGGACTGGCAGCTAGGACTTCACTGTTCCCTCAGTGAAGTAAAACAGGAAGCTGTTGGAGAGATTATAAGTCAGGAGTAATTTTTAAAAGCATGGGTGGCACAAGAGATAGCTAATTCTCATAAGGCAAATAGCCAGATGACTAGATAAGTGTGGCTGGATCATCCACGAAGGCAGAGACTTCTGCCACCACTAGAGCAAACCTGCAGTCCTAGGACCCTATTTAGCTCTGGGAGAATATTCAAAGCTAGGTTAAACAGTGATTGACAACGGTTAACTAAATGATAGAAGGTACTATATTTTACTTAGGTGTTTATTACTTTTCCATGTTGTCCCTTACTGCATTAATAGTTTATCTATCTCTTATCAAAAAGTAGAGAACTGTTTTATTGTCATTTTAGTTAAGAGTTATATCTTTGGGAAAAAGCAGTATTGACTGGATTATATGCAAAATGTTTTTAAAAATCCTTAAGTTGTTATATTTATATATATTAAATATATTTATTTAATTATATATTAAATTTTTTAATTAAATAAATTAAATATATTTAATATAAATATATTATATATACATACTTATATATATTAAAAAATCCTTAAGTTATTATACCTGAAAGAGAAGCCCTGGCTATCATGATGCACTTCTCTTTATACTACTATATACAGTAGCTATCCCTAAACTAGATGAGATGGTACAGAAAAAAAAGGAAGGAAGGAAAGAAGGAAAGAAAGAAAGAAAGAAAGAAAGAAAGAAAGAAAGAAAGAAAGAAAGAAAGAAAGA